TTCCCCTGGTTCTTGGGGCAGGGGGGGGATTCTCCAGTTCCTGGGAGGGTCCCCTGGGTTTTTGGAGGAGTCCCCTTGTCCTTGGGGGGTCCCCTCGTCCTGGGGGGACATCTCCTCATCCTGGGGGGGTGGTCCCTGCTTCCTGGGGGGGTTCTCTGGTCCTGGGAGGGGTCCCTTGGGTTCTGGGGAGGATCCCCTGGGTTCTGGGAGGGGGTGTCTCTCAGTTCTGGGAGGGATTTCCAGTTCTTGGAGGAGTTCTCTGGTTCTGGGGGGGGTTCTCCTGATCCTGGGGAGGGTTCCCCCTGGTTTGGAGGGGTTCCCTCCCAGTTCTGGGGGGGTGTCCCCCTGGTTTGGAGGGGTTCCTCCCAGTTCTGGGGGGGTGTCCCCCTGGTTTGGAGGGGTTCCTCCCAGTTTGGAGGGGTTCCCCCAGGTTCTGGGGAGGGTTCCCCTGGTTCTGGTCGAGTTCCCCTGCTTCTAGTGAGGTTCTCTGTTCTAGGGGAGAGTTCCCCCATTCTGGGGGGGTTCCCCCAGTTCTGGGGTGCTGTCCCCACCTCACCCCTGTCCCCTCCCCCTGTCAGGGGGGGACTCTCTGCGTTTCGGGTGCCCGTGACCGGAACGTCAACCTGTGGGACCTGCGGCAGCTGGGCCAGGCCCCCGGCAAAGTTCTGGTGAAGGCGCTGGGCACCGAACGCAACGGGACGCACAAGGTGGGGGGGCACAGCCCTTACACACCCCACCCCCTCTTTGGGGAGTCCCAGGCGGGGTTTGGGACCCTTTTTTTGGTGTATTTTGGGTTGTCCCCCGCAGGGCTGGGTCTGGTGTTTGGCCTCTCGGGACAACAAGGTCTGCTCGGGTTCCTGGGACAGCACCGTCAAGCTCTGGGACCTGGAGGCCGAGGGGCAGCAGTTTGGGGAGATCAGGTAACCCCTGAGGGGGGGGTTGGGGGGATTTTGGGGGGGTCTACCGGCCCCCCCACACCTCCCCAACCCTCCCCTTGCCCCCAGGGAGAAGGCGGCCGTGCTCTGCCTCTCCTACCGCCCCGACGTCCTGGTCACCGGGACTTATGACAAGACGGTGACAATCTACGACCCCCGAGGTTGGTGCTGTCTCGGGGTGGGGGTTGGTGGTCCTGGGGGGTGCCCCCCTGGCTCATTGCCCCCTTCCTTTGGTAGCCGGCCCCTCCCTGGTGCGCAGCTACAAGCCCCACGCCAGCGCCGTCCTCTCCCTGGCAGCCGATGACCGGCTCATCGTGTCCGGCAGCGAGGACCGGACCCTCGTCGTCTTCGACCGTCGGGCCCAGGGGGTCCTGCAGCGGCTCCAGGTGAGTCCTGTTGCCCCCCAAAACCTGTGGGAGGACCTGGGGGGG